TTACTTAGAATTTTAAAACTCAAAACATAATCAAGATACTGTATATTCATTATGAATACTATTGTGCATAATGGCTGAAACCTCATCAATGCCACTTTCTTAATGTGTTGGATTACGGGTCCCATCACTTCCACCCAACACTATCTCCCTATTATTTTCAGTCAGCAGTAACACAGCTTACTGAAAGGCATTCCCTGCAGTGGGGAAACATAATACAGCCCCAGTCCATCAAAGCAATCTTAAAAACTCCCATCTCTTTGGCACTTGGCTGGCTTTATGTCTGGGAAGAAAGATTCTCTTTAATCTGATTGAGAAGTTATTAACTTGTCAGGGTCTTCTTAGTCCAGGGGTGGACCACCTTTTTATAGCTAAAGCTGTGCTTTCAATATTATTTGTGTTTCATTTGGTCGCTGAAACCTTTGGGAAGAATTATATCGACATGACAACATTCCATGGGGACAGCAGTAGAATTGTAGTCCCTTCTGCTCTTTAAAAACTTTTTGGGGAGTTGGAAAGATTAAGTAAAATAGGATAATATAGACTGTAACAGATGATTGTAGCCTAAACACAGGGGGAATCTGCAGTCTATGGAACTTGGGTTGTCCACTCTATTCTATATATTTAAAAATCAAGGAACTTTCAAAACCTCTTTCTCCCAGCTTACCATGGTGATGTAATGATGATGTTCATCCATTCTCCCCCCCCTCTTTTCCTCTTCTTTTTTCTTCTTTTTAAACTTTTAAAAATTGAGCAGGCTTACTGTGAACAGTAACTCCTACAAACAGGAAAATAATAACTTTATCTTCACCATATATTGAGGTGGTACACAGAAATCAAATGGACAGTATCATTGCTAAAAGCAGTTGAAGGAATTCAATTATAGCACCAAGGATAAGGGCAGGAGCTAATTGTGGTACAGCTCATGTGCAAATTTAATTTGGAAGCTAAAGAAGAAGGAAGAAGGAAGGAAGCAGGAAGAAGGAGAGGAGGGGGAAGGAGGATGAGGAGAAAAAGGAGGAAGAGGAGGAGAAGGCCAAGTCATTCCCACAATATTCCCACCATTTTCAAGGAAAACATCAGGAATTGTTTTGAAGTCCTGAACCAAAGAATATGATAAACTGTGGAATAAACGGATAGAAGTTGTTAATGATGAATATGAAAAAAGACTGTCAAAGATGAAGAAACAAAACTGGATGACAGAATGAGCTGTGGAAAGAAAAAGAAATGAGCAAGAAGAAAAGAGAAGCCAAAGTCAAGGAAGACAAAAATTTAAGGAACTTCATAAAGAATTTCAGAGAACCTTCATAAGAGACAAGAAGCAGCATTACAATAACTTCTGTAAAGATATGGGAAATGGAAGCACACATGGAGAAACAAGGAAAGTATTCCATGTCTGAATGCAGAAGGGGCTTCCAATTTCAATGTGTAATATTAAACAATGCCATTTGTTCTACATAGAGTGGTCTTCTCATTGCTCAGCTTCCAGGAGGCCAAATTGTTCCTCTTACTTAGAAGGAAGAGTATGTGCTACACCTGAGATTTTGTGACAAGGAAGTGGAGTAGAATATCATCTGAAGTGTGTCAATTTGCTGCTGTTATGCTAAGCAAGAAAGGATTTGAAAAGTTGTTGCTGGCTGAAAAACCTGGGTAACACCTCTATCATTAGGGCACATTTTTGGTCATTACTGTATAGTGTAGAGGCTGCTTGTAGATGAATTATGATTTTTTAAAAATTTAATTTAATACTTTGGGAGGAATATTAGATTTTGGAGGCCTGAGTACTTTGCATCTTTTTAGATAAAAGCTGAAATTATTTTTAGGGCTGATGGAATTGTCAAACTGCATTTCTCACACCTCTATTTAAGTCAATTTATTTTCACGTCCATTTGTCATTTTGTTTTTTTTAAAGTCTGCCTGAAAATTTTTAATGAATCTTGCATCCATATATGTGAGTTGTATATGCTGAAATATTTTTCAAAGCATATTTATCAAATTTCATGCACATTTAGACTAGTTTCTGCAATATAAAGTTTTGTGTACATTTTTCCTTTTTATCTGATATTTGTGTGTAGCATTTTTCTCTTCTTCTGAACTTTCACCTGGAAAGTCATTTCATTGTTTTTGCTTGAAGCCATTTGTGACAACCATGACCTGGATAACTGAGACTCTCCATAGACATCTGCCATATGTAGATGACACTACAATAGGTGGAAACATAGCTACAAACAAGTGCTTCACTTCAATTTAAATCTAGTGACTTTCAATGTTCACATATAAGTAGTCTATGCTTGAAAAATCAAATACAGAAAGTTCCCAACTTAAAGATTAGTGACCATTTAAAGTTACAAAAGTAGTTCTGACTGGTCCTCACACTTATGGCTGTTACAGCAGCCCCATGGTCATGTTATCAAAAATTGAGCACTTGGCAAATGGTATGCATTTGTGACAGTGGGAGTGCTCTGGGATCACATGATTGCCTTTTGTAACTTTCCCAGCCTTCCAACAAGCAAAGTCAATCAGGGAAGCCAGATTTACTTAACAACTGCATGGTTCACTTAACAAATGCAGCAATTTGCTTAATAATTTTGGCAAAAAGTCCTTCCCCTGTCCTTACCACTTACTACAGAGGGACAATTGACAGCATCCTGTCTTATTGCATTACAGTCTGGTCTGGAAGCATTATTGCTTCGCACAGGAAGGTGATGCAGAGTGGTGAGGATGGCAGGGAAGATTATTGGCAGTTCCCTTCTGTCTATCCAGGACATAGCATATAAGTGATGCTTGATTAGGGCCTGCAGGATAGTTTGGGACTTTGTGGGCTTTGTGGTATCTGAACATCCAAATTCAGTCATAGTTTTGGTCCATACAGTATCAACCTTGTGAACCTTCCGGTTCACAACCTTTCCGGTATCAACCTTCCTCTTTCCAATATGTACTCAAGATGGACAGCACTTAACATTTATATATATGAGTGTGTGTATAGTACACACACACACACACACGCACACACACACACACACACACACACACACGTTATGTATGCATCCCCCTCATGGATTACTGCCTTGTTGTGTCCTTTTTATGGATGTTGTGGTCATCAAAACAATCCAAAAATTGGGAGTCGGGTATGTGTGTGGGGTGGGGTGGAAATGCAATCAGCCCCAGGGAAAAGAGGAAAGTGGAAGAGTAGGAATATAATAAATTTGAGTCAAGGAAACAGGAAAAACAAGAATCCTGTGTTGCTATAAAAGCAAATGAATTTATTATAGTGGAAAGTTTTGTGGGTCATAATTTAGGTCATCGGTTAAACACTGCAATATGCTAAGAGGGAAACTATTTATTAGTCTTTAAGATACCACAACGTTCTTCCTTTTTTTTAAAAAAAAAAAGCCATACAAATCCACATTTCGTCCATTATTTTTTCTTTCTGGAGCAAAATAAAAATAAAAATGGAAATCTCTTCTGAAAGTGACCGGCTGCCAAGCCACACAATGCTTACCTGGAAGTAACAAGAACAAGGAAAGGCTACAATCGGGTTTTGCAGGCTCCCACACCCACAGCCTTTTCCACACGTGCGAGTCTGAGTTTTCCACTCTTTTTTTTTGACCTTGAATCCAGCTGGAGGCGCAGCACCCGCTTCTCTCTCTCTCTCTCTCTCCCCCTCCCTCCCTCCCCCTCTCTCCCTCCCCCATCTCTCTCCCTTCTAGCAACGACTCTCTCCCGTGCCGTCTCCACGGGCTTCAAGGGCCTTTTGTAATTGGACTGCTTCCTGGTCATTCTGGCTACAGCTCCCTCCCCATCTCCTCCCGCACCTCGCTACAGCCTCTTCGGGTCGCTTCCTTTCCCGTCATGCAAGAACAGAGGTACCTCGGGAGCCTTTGGGAGGCTGCATCAGCTGACCGGGTCTGCAGCAGAGTCAGAATGACAACCCGATTGCAGCATTTTGATGGGGGGCGGGAGAAGGTCTGCGGCGAGGAGAGTTCCACCGAAAGATGGAAAAACTCCCCTCCCCCAAACTCAGAAGCATCCTCCGTTTTCACAACCGGCTTTTCCCCATCCCGGTTGGGAGAGGGGGGGTGTCTTTCTTTTTGTTTCTCCCGCCCACTTCTTTCCCCGAGCTTTGACACTTTGTTTTTGACACGCCTTTCGCGAAGGACTGCGTCTCGACAGCTTGAGACACCTCAACTAACAGCCATACTGTACGGTTAACCTTCAGACGCCCCTTTGGGGAAGGAACGTGGGGATGGGAGGGGCGAGGCGAGGCAAAGCACGCTGCAAAATCGATACACCATCAGCAACAGCTCAAAGTGAGATCCTTCCGTAATGCACCAGAAAGCCCGCTCTAACCGGCTTCCAGGCTTTCTATAGTCGTCTCCAGTTTTTTTCCTCTCCCTTTCTTTCGTACCCCAGCTTTCCTTCCCGTCCCAGATGTTTAGACGCTTGAGAATATAACGCAGAGTAATCACGCGTGGCTTCCGAGAGGCTTTGCACAAAAACTGCTGAGTTGGCTCCCATTGCCCTCCCCCACAACCCCAATTCTAGTCCCGCAAGCTATTCAAGAAAACAGCAGATGTGCTCCGCTCAGTAAATGGTCTACTCTCGCTTTCCAATCCTGTCTTGTTAAAACAATAGTTATTTTTAAAAAATTAAAAAAGATTTCAGGTTATAGGCTACATTAGTTCCCCCCCCACTTCCTCAACCGATCCCCCTTATCCCCCAACTGTAGGTATGAGACCGGCAGACTCCTGCGGCAAGATGAGTTGCTATAAGCTTTTGCAACCCCTTACCGTGGGGTTGTGGAGTGGCGCAAGTGTGTCTGTGTGTGTGTTTGTGTGTGTGTGTGTGTGTGTGTTGGGGTGGGTGGGAGCGGCGGCGAATGCTAGGCAAGAAATGCCTATCCAGCAGCCTCGGTAGAGCGGGAGGAGGAAGAAGAGGAGGCGGAGGAGGAGGAGGAGGAAGGAGCCGCCGTTGTGTGTAAGGAGGGAATAGTGTCAGTGGGATGGTCCGGAAATCCCGTGATAAAAAGAGGGAGTAGTGAAAGTAAAGGCACTGTGGGCTCGTCCGTTCCCCGCTACTGGCTCACCGTCGCGCCCGAACCCTATTGGAAGGAGAGAACTTCTTACGTCCGCTCCTACATCCTTCAAACAGAGGCTTTCGCTTCTGAGGCACACATGGAATTGGCTACAGAGGGTGCTTGATCTACTGAGAAAAGAAGAAGAGCAGTTTTTTTTTTTGCTTTCGCTGCGACTTAAAGGGAACGCAGAACTGCGGAGCGCAGCCACCGAGAAAGGTACCCCCTCCACTCACCCCAAACCCCCTCTTTGAAAAGGACGACGCTGTCCAAGGTGCTGATGCTTTCGTATTCCGTAGAGTATCTTAAGTAGTACTGTAGGCTGGCACCGCCCGGACGCGAGGAAGTGTCCTTGGTGCTGAACAGTCTCTTTCCTCTCTTTTCCTTCAAATACCTTGCTTGTTCAGAGCCCCACAGAGTCGTAATTTCCCTGTCTCGCTGTATAGTGCTGATGGTGGTGGTTTGCATGACTTTATGATTGCATAAATTGATAGTTGGCTGTGCAGAAGAATTGGGAAAGTATTGTGAGGGCTCTATGGGACAGTGTTGTGGTGTATGTAGTACACATTGAAAGCCTCTCTAAAGTGGAGCTGCAGGCATTGGCACACTGGGTTTCCAATGCACACTTTCTGATGATACGTTACTATTTAAATGCTTCTTGTAAAAATAGAAGCAAAAAGAAACCTTTTACCCCAATTATTGTTTGCAATCGTGAGGTATGTAGTGTCACTATAACCTCGTTGGAAATTGAAACATGTACCTCTTTGGTGCAGGAACTGATCCACCCCACCACTAATGTTAACCATTCTTCAGTTACAGAAGTTTTCAGCTAGAAAATGGTTAATTGGTGCAGCACTGTATTTCCTCCTTATAAATTCTCACAAAGTCCTATTTCCTTTCTTCTTTAGAAAAATGCAGCTAATTAGGTCTTTGCAATGGCATTCTTTTTAAGTTTGATTTAAACATTTCTTTTTTGTTTTGAAATAATTTGTAGCATGTTTTATTTTCTCTGCAGAATCACGGGAGAAGGAATGTTATTGGCTAAATGCCTTATTCTTTTTTAATAGTGTTATCTACTTTTGGAGTTTTTGTGCATGAACATTCATAATCATGCTGATTTGCAAGATCACTGCCTCAACTTTATGGCTGCAATCTGAAATTCTGTGCCACGATGAATATAATCAAATCCATTGTGCTAGTCCAAAGAAAACTTCTGAACGATGTGTGTGTGTCTGTGTGTGTATTTGTGATAGTGCTGTCAGTTTCAAATAAAGACATATTTTAAAATGTATTTGGTGCTTAACTTAATTTGACTAGCATGATTGTTCTAGCGAGAGATGCAGATGAGACTGGCCATTAGAAGCTACCAGCAGAGAAGGCTGCTGCTGAGTATTCCAAGAGCATAAGTACTTCAACCTTCAAATGCCCCCCAGCACTACCTCTGTTTTGAACAGCTATTAGCTCCCCACTTCTGGGCATTTTTTTTCAAGCAACCCCTAAGGATTACTGAAGTTTAACTTTGTGTCAGATAGGAAAGGACTAAATCCTATGATTTTTACATTGAACTTTAGAGCTCCTTATAATGGCGCAATCTAAAAAAGGGAAAAAAAACAACTCTGGAAAATCCCATTAAATAATCATTTTGGAAAATAGACTAAGACCGAGAAAATGGCTATGGTCATCTGTCATTTTTTTTTGGGAAAATTAAATTAAATTTGATATTTTTTTTACAAAATTCAGAGCAAATAGTAATCTATTCAGGCTAAATTTGGATTTCAACCTAAATTCAGATTTTACTCCCTATAAATTCAGGCTATCCCATGATAACTTAGCAGCACAACATTATATACCCTTTATCAGCCTTCCTAAAGTGCATTTCATAGATTATATTATACTTTCTAGCTATTCGAAGCACAACTTTAGGGTGAGACATGATGGGTGCATTTTCTGTATGCATGTACACCAAACGTTTTCAACCTAGCAGATTTCTTAAAAGACAAGTAGCTCCACTGCAGAAGGAACTAAGAGAAGAGAGCGATAGCCCACCCTAATGCTTTTTTCTTCTCTTGCTTTGTGAATTCAGCTGCAGGCTGAACCTCAGGAATTTGTCTCCACCTGACTTGCATGTGAGAACTGCTCTGGTGGGAAGGAATCTAAAGCCATCATCATGGAATTTGTAATGAAACAAGCTTTAGGAGGTAAGAACTAAATTGTGCTATTGTGTAATTGCTTCATAGGTAGAAAGAATTGTAAACTGTCAACATGGAATGTATGACAAAAGCCCAGTTGATGTGGTGGGTGCTGTTGCGCATGACCTGAATTCATGACTTTTCCTCTGCAGTGAAGTTTTCATTGCGAACAACGCAGATTTCCTATTGACAACTTTGGTGAATAGAACCTTGGTCTGCATCACTGAGCTACTAAATGGAATATACAAATAATTTACATTCCCTCTTTTACATTCCCCTCTCCCAATAAGTTGTGTACACCTTAACCATCCCATAGATCGTTTGTTTTAGATGAAGCATTATTACATTATTGAATATTCAATCCAGTAGGGGGCAGAAGTGAGAACTGTCTCAAGTCTATGGTGGTTTCTGAATGATCTGTCCTGAATGCAGAAATATATATATTTTCTACTATGGGTTCACCAGTGATTCCTCCTAATGAATCAAATAACTGTCCAATTTATTGTAGGAGAGGAAACATTGGCAGGATAAGATTGAACATGTTTAAGTAAGTTAAACTGTCATTGCTTTCATGGGATATCAGCAAACCTAATTTTACAAAGAATTAAAAGGTCTCTGGCTTTGACTCATGTTTTTAGCTCATTTAACCAGCTCAAAATTTCTCCAGGTTCTTAAGAAAAATTCATATCAATCAAACTACTTTCAAATTCTTTTCTAGCTGTAATATAATATACAGTATCACCAAGAATTTTGATAACTGGAATATAGGGACATGGAACATTGCAATAAGAAATCCAGTGCAGCTTTTTCATAAGCGTAGTTTTTGTGAACTGTTTTGGCCGCTGTCTAATTTTTTAATGGTTGTCCTATTACATCTGGGCCATGGGGGGAAAAAAGAATGTTTCCAGAATAAGAAAGTGCAGTTGAGAAAACTGCTGGATGACATTGCTATTCTGAACATCTTTATGGTAGACTCATTTGCCTTCACCTCATCCAGCACATTATAGAGCATATCATAAAATGCTTCTCCATTGATCGGCATTTCCAAATCCTATTAAGCCTTGAGTTGAAGATGCAGACTGTTATTCAGATAGTTTGCAAGTCATGTTGGCTTTGATTTTTGTTCCACCTCAAGATTTATCCCGTTAGAGGTAGGATTGTTGTTTATGTTGTGTTGTGTGGATGCAATTTGCAACATAAACACATTAAGAAGCTATTTACTTGATCAGCCTCATTTCTATTCAATTTAATTATGCCTTACATATCAGGAAAATAAGCATTTTTCTTATTTGCAAATGAATTAAATGAAGAGTGAACTCCTCAAAAGAAAAGAAAAGAATATTTATTTTCCATTTTGTTTGACTGCAGTTCTCTCTCTGGTTAGGTGCAGAAATCTCATTTCATTTGAATTCATTTTAAAGGACTTCATTCTTGGAAGTACATAACATGATTCAGCTTTTTTATGGGTAGAGCTGCATCCATAGGAAAGGACTAACAAAAGACCCAGGAGGCTCTTTTCCCTGCATGGCTCCCCTTCAGCATAAATACATTGAATTTGGTCATTGCAGAGATAAGCAGGCATACCAGAAATCACTTTCCTGTTTGGTGGCTTTGCCTGAAAATTAGCAAGGAAGTAAGGCAGTGGATTCCATTAAACCCTATTCTTTTTTCTGAAAAATGCCCATAATGCCCATAAATTCTTTTCACTTGGTTGATGTGTGAATATAGCAATTGCATCACTGAACATGGCAATATTTCATATTTTATGCTGACGTTATTTTCACTGCTGAAATTTCAAGTGTGCCTATTGAGAAGACTGCTTAAATTAAAAAAAAATGGGTTGAACCTCCAAATAAAAAATATTTCTGATGAGGATTTTCACACTCCTAATTGTAGATCTATTTTTTTAGACCATGAATGGAGCCTCCTGCTCCATAGAATCCCAAATATAGGAATTTTGACAGATGACTCTCCATTTTTGAACACATGCAGAACACATTCACATGCAGTGAAAGAGAGTCTACCCCTTCTTAGGCAACTCTTGCTCTTACATGATGGTTTGTGTCTTCCTGGAATGAGAAATCATTAATTGTGGTTATGCAATCTGAAAGGATAAAGATGAGTCCAGGTTCTTATGTGCATCAAATGAAACAAACAAAATGTTGAAAAGTTATGATATTTGTGTAATTGCTTACCAAACACAGCTTAATTATATTAAAGTATCCAAAATATCTTTACAATCCCTGAGGCATATCACAATTTTTGAGCACTCATAATGTTTGAAAATTTGAAAATTTTGACATGCCCTATCAACAACATTTGAAACTTGAAGAACATAAACACACATTCAATGGGAAAGAAAGGAAAACTACATTGAAAATTACACAACATCTTTAAGTAGAAGTGGCAGTCTGAAAGAGAATAGGATAATACTGGAATAGTAGAGATGAGAATCTTATGCCTCCAGGTGTATCACTTAACTACATCTTCTAGTATTTCTAATTAATATTGGTTGGGATTTCTGGGAACTATAATTCAATTTCCCCTGAAGCAGCACAGATCTTTTGCACTTTCTTAAGGAAACTTGATAAAGTATTCTGCTTGAAAAGAAGCCTGTTCCAGAAACTGAATTTATTTTTTTTTAAAATCAGTATAATAATTCTGTCAGAATTTTGCACGTTCAATAGTATCTGTGGTGGATTTTGTTTCTTTTTTTGTGGGGGGGGGGGACTGATAAGAAGGGATGAGGATGACAAAAACAATGTAAGAGGACTGCTCCTTTTATATGCATTGTACTCATATACAAAAGATGTGGAGCATTTTTTTTTAAAATACGGAGTTTAAAAACCAAAGTATTGTTTCATCATTGTGACAAAAGCAGCAAATCTCTGAAGATATTAATAGCATGTACTTCTTAATATATTGCCTCTTGATTTTATTGTATGGTATCTAGAAATTTATAGACATTGGTGCTGAAAATTGCTTTTAAAATTATTCATTATTTCTTTTTTCATAGCATTTTCTTCTCTGCACTTTTCTGCAACAATTAGGAGGTTTTTTTTAGTTCTTTTTGTCTTCTTGTGAATTTCTTCTGAGTCTAATAACCTTGCTTGGATTTCACTAGGAACATCGGATCGTAAGAGAGATGTCATTTATATATTGGATTGAGTTAATTAGTTACAGTATACCTGGAATAACCCCACTGAGTTCAATAAAACATGAAATAAATATGTTCTAATCATGACTGAATCCAACTCATGACCTTATCCTGAAGCCAATGACATAATTTATGGGTCTACATCTGACAGTCTATGGAATATACTAGCATACAATATATATGTGATTTATCTATATCTGGTTGATATTGGTGTTAGATTTCCCATATTATTCCAGTCAATTATTTTTTTAAAATATGAAACATCTACATTTATTTTATGAAATTTTCCTAAAGATTAAAAATTTGTATACAGCCCCCCCCCCCCCCGGTGTGCATTTATCTATCATAAATGCTTTTCTACCAAAAAGAATTCTCAATACTTATCTCCTTTTTACTACATCTTTTTAAATAATTTCTTTGAGTGATAATGTTTTGAGTAGAAAGTGACCACTGTTGCAAGGTCTACTCTCAGTTGTCTCTGTGTCACAATACCATCTATTTTGGCAGGACATGCCTTATAAATTGATTTTTCAATCCTTAATATAAAGGAATGGGTTGAGGAGAGGTTGAAGATAGGGAGAGAGAGGCAGTAGATATCAAGTTTCTCTCATCTTACCTCAAATCAAATTGCCACTTTAAATATAGAAATGTGAACTACTTCAAAGTCATGCTGTTTGTAGACATGCACAACCAATTATTAGCAATATACACATGAACTATATTTAATTTTGTTAATTTTGTAGTATGAAAACTCATTGGGAATCAACATGAAAACTGCTCACTGTATCAATTTAAAATCATCTATTGGGAAACCAGTAATGTTTTGACTAAGGTTATACATGCATTATTTAAAATTATGCATCGTAATGTCCTTAGATTTCATTTTTCCTAGATTGTTCCTTTTCAAACATATCTGTTATATTATATTAAAGTGAGGAAATAGAAGTTGTTATAACAGTTTCCTGTTTTCTAATTTGGTGCCTTAACCTTTACACCAAACTGGCTATCAGAAAATGCTTCTAAATATGCTTTCTACAAATTTAGCCTGCAAATATTTTGCAATTGGTGGAATAAATCAGGGAATCAATATAAAGGACAGAGAGGCTATGTTCACCACACAGGCTGGAAATGCTTTCTGAATAAAAGTGCATTTTCTCTCTTTGGATCAGGCTTGAGGTTATAATAACAGGGTTGGCTTCCATTGATTTGTTTGGCAATTTTAAATAAGCTAATTTCAAAGGAGTTGGACTTGGTCACTGCACAAACAGATTAATACAAAACAAAGCAAATTAAATCTACCGAGTCCTTTGATGTGCATTTCAGAATGTGATTTTTGCCATTACCTAGAAACAATGACAAGCCTGCTTATGGGCTTGACTTTATTCAGAATTGCCAGACAGTTAGAATTCCAGAATTTATTTGCAGCAATATTGATCCTGGAACAATGTCATCCAGGTATCTGCTATTTAAATTTAGAGCAATGCAAGCTGGAGGAGGAGGATATTTTAGTCAAGAAAGATTTTAAAGTTGACTGAGAAGGAATGATGAAAATTAGAGAAAATATAGAGGGCCAGTTCAAGCATTTTTGTATCTGAAGTGAGCCATTCAACTGCTATTTCTCTCTTATTACACAAAAATATAATTCTGATATAAATTAAATGATAGGCAATCAGGCACTCTGATGGCACTGTAAGGGCAGAGTTGGGAATAAATTGTGTTGCATTTGGTGGAACTTATTTGTGAATAGATATTTATATTATACTGTAGCAATAGCAATAGCAGTTAGACTTATATACTGCTTCATAGGGCTTTCAGCCCTCTCTAAGCAGTTTACAGAGTCAGCATATTGCCC